AGGCAGAAGGCGGTCTCGGAGATATCCAGGTCCGATGCCATGGAGCGCTTTAAAGGTGATAATCAACACCTTGAAGCGCACCCGGAAAGCCACCGGCAGCCAGTGCAGCTCGCGCAGCAACGGTGTTACATGGGAGCGACGAGTCCCTCCCAACACCGCCCGCGCGGCTGCATTCTGGACTAACTGGAGCCTCCGAGTGCTCCGAGTGATTAAGGAGAGGGATGGATTAGAAGACATCCACAGTCCCTTCCAACTCTGTTATTCTGACATATTCCGTAAGAAATAAATAACATTGTACTACTAGCTTTTCCACATGTTTTTTCCCTGTGTTCATGTATTTTGCACTAGTTCAATCCATTGTTAAGCATTCTCACCACCAGTATTCTTAGATTAAACATCTATGCCATTTGTTGAGCAGATAGGAAACATTGCAATTAATGGAACATAATTATGTAAAAATCTGTCTAGGGTTGATTTACTTCCTTGAAACTGAATGAAGAGTAACTTGTTCAAATTAAGATCTTACAACAGCATTATTCTTGAATGCTTAAAATATTTCTAGAGTTATATCATGTTTCTGTAGGACTGGTATATGTCTTCTGCTAACGTTAGCAGTTTGTTTAGACATGATTAAAATGTTATTGCCTTTTAATATCCTTCACACTGCAGAATTCTTAAATGTAATTAGAGCACCTGAAGCAAAACACACAATTGCAGCTATGCATGTGTACCAGAGACAGCATATTTTATTAATGTGGAAAGTCCTGCTATGAATTATCTAAGCATCCAAAACTGATACTTTTTCCTTTATAATTCTAGATTGCTATAAAGAGAAATGAGTATGTACCATGTCTATTTTGTAAAGACAAGATTTTTTTTAAAGGGGCTTTGTTTAAATAATAAAGATCTATGTTCGAATTGATTTATTTTACATGATGATCATGCTGCATATATAAACATGAATTAAAGATATGCATTGTTCTATGCTGATTTCTTGGTCTTGTTTATTGTATATAAAAGATTGAAAGGACAATTTCTACTCTTTGTGATTTACCTTCTTTTATTTTTTTTAACATGTAACATGGTTCCTTTTCATGTTTTTCTTTTAGATCACCTATTTTAGCCTTTGGTATTTCAACAAGCAGAACCAGCGCAGGTGGATAGACTTGGATAAGCCTCTCAAAAAGCAACTGGATAAATATGCATTGGAGCCAACTGTATTCTTTGGTGTGGTGTTTTATGTGCCTTCTGTCTCTCAACTTCAGCAGGAAATTACCAGGTGAATCTTGTAAGCTTGCATGGAATAATTCTAAATGTAAAGTAACTAAATTTTACATGGCCCTATTGAATCTGATACCAGTTGTTTCTATATTTTTTTGCTACAGACTAGTCCTCCTGGATCTGAACAAAACTCTTACTGATGAATATATTATTTCTTTCATGGCCAGTTATTTTAGCTCAGATAAGCACAAATAGATTTCTTTTGGAAGGTAATAATAGTTGTTTCCCTACTAAGCTGCTGAGTGAAGTCTCAGATTTGATGTTGAAGTTCTTGGTTGCTTTTTGTCCTACAAAGTAGGAGAAAATATACTGGGATGGCACTATTTGGGAAACACTGGTTTACATGGCATGGGACAGCTTAAGAATCCAAAGTCAGTTATTTCCCAGACTTAACTTAGAGATGTCAAGTACTGAATGTGAACAAGCATTTGACTGGGTTTTTTTTTTTCAAGTTTTGCATAACTTTGTCATTGAACATCAATTTCATGGATGCTCTTTTCATAAAAGGAGAAAGGGAGACGATCTGAGTTAACAAGCAGTACCAAAATTTGAAATCCCTATTTATTTCACAAGCATAGTCATCCAACATGTGATGTGCCAGTGTGAAAAAAGAAATAAACAGTTGGAAGTATGATTGAGCTGAAGCAATTTACCATGGAGAAGTGGGCTGCTATTCCTATTGAGCAATGTGAGACATGATCACTGTTTGTAGGAAATTATCTATATATACTACTAAAACTTTTGTGTTTGTAACTTTCAATTGGGCAAAAGAGTGTGTTATCAGGCAACAATTTTTGAATCAAGGTAATTCAAATGGGCTAATTTACAGAATGTTTCAAAATCTGGGACCTATTACTCCTCTGGGATTGAAATTTGGAAAAACTGTGGCTACTTCAGGGCTGCCATGCCCCAGTGTTATTTCTGGTGCTTCCTGCCAGCTTCTCACAAGAAAAGCCAATGGGGAGGCTGGCAGGAAGACTGAAGTCCCAGGCCAGCAGACAAGTAAGTAGCTACTATCAGGTGGGGGGAATGAGTGAGGGGATGCATGGAAGTGGCACTGTGCAGGTCAGAGAGAATGTGTGAAAAGTGCCATGCAACTTGGGGAGTATTTACTGGGGTGTGTGAAAGGTACCATATAGGTTGGGGAGGGTGCACAAGAGACATAGCATGGTTTGGGGAGGTTGTGTGTGGTGTGTAAAAGATGCCACGTTGCTTGGGGTGGTTGCACAGCAGTGCAGTGCGGGTTGGAGAAGTGTGTGGGTGTGAGTGATGGCACGAAGGCTAGGGATGCCTGAATAAGTAAGTAAATAAATATCTCTGAGGGATGACCCACCAGGCCATGGGTTGTTTAGTTGCTAGTAAATATGATACAAGTAACTGAATCTATGGGATTTTGGGGAACTTTTTGTTACTAGCACACTGTATGTTGAAGAGACTTCAATATCAGATCTGGGACATCCTTCACCAGTTTAGATTATATAACAATTTTATAGAATAGTAGACCATGTATATAACTCTTTATCTAGTTCAAGCTCAGACATGAAATCTGAATCTGTCGGAAGAATTTAATAGCAAAGCGTAGTAATAGATTTAAGTGATGCTTCTTCTTCAAGGGAAAAATAATGAAGAATGGAATTAGAAAAGGCTAAAAAATGGAAGTACAAAGGAAGAAATGGTATTGTAGACTAGTTGGTAAGTTAGTAGCAGTGCAATGGTATTATCAGAAGGAAAGAGAATATGTGTGACTATTGGAGGATCTGTGAATAGAGAAAAAGTTTGCTGCACTGAGATCCTGGTATATGAATTAAGGATTTAATGTCAGATGGGGATCATTACTTTAATAGTTCCCCTTGTTTATTTATTATTTAGATATAAGGGAAGTTGGCTTCTGCATAGTCACACTGCTGATTCCAAAATTACTAACTTGGACAGTCAGCAGTTCCCTGGCGTCTCACATACTGATTTTTTCTGACTGTCTGCTGCTTCATTTTTTTAAAATGGAAAAACCATGGACTGAATCTGGAACCTTCTGCATATATTCCTCTACAAAATTACAATGTCTGGCTTATCATATATCATATCATGTACATATATCAGCTTATATAATATTACTCATTTTATTTATATACCCTGTTTTTTCCAATATGCTGAAAGTGTTATACATACTTCTTCTTCCATAGAATCATATCAGCAAAATAGATAACTTCAGACTCCAATTTGCTTAAAAGGTAAATTGATGATAGCTGAGAAATAGAGGCATCTTTAGGTATAGGCATATAGGTATAATCACAGAATGTTATTGACTATATGCATTTTCATGAATTGGAGGCATGTGAAAAAAACATTTTTTCCCATAGATACCAGTATTACCTACAACTAAAGAAAGACATCTTGGAAGGAAACATACCTTGCACGTTTGAACAAGCAATTCATCTTGCTGGGTTAGCTGTTCAAGGTAATTTCCACACTTCCAATCACGTTTAGCTTATTTCAGAGGAAGGAATTTGTATCATTGTTTGAATGACAGTGCCAGAAGGTCACAAAAGCTGGTTACATGACCCCGGGACACTGCAACTGTCATAAATATGAACCAGTTACCAAGCTTTTGAATTTTGATCATGTGACCATGGGGATGCTGCAACGGTTGTAAGTGTGAAAAACGGTTATAAGTCACTTTTTCTCAGTGTTGTAACTTTGAATAGTCACTAAATGAATTGTTGTAAATCGAGGACTACCACTCTTGAAGACTACCTGGAAACTTCAGATGGTACAGAATGCAGCCTAACCCTAACTCTTTTTGTACTAATAGGAATGTTCCAACATATTCATATAATACCACCATTATGGGCCCTCTACTAGTTGCCAGTTTGTTTCTTATTGCAGTTTAGCAGCTGGTTATAAGTTATACTTTCCTATGCAACTCAGAAATTGGGTATTATTGAGACTGCTTCCTGCCTATCCCAAGATATGTAGGTTGAGAAAGCTTGCTAAAAGCTCCTCATGAATCACAGCAGGAAAATTGGAAGCAGTCATTTTCTGCCAGACTTCCCTCCTGTGGAACCATTTTTTTTTCCAGAAATAAGATCAGCTTCCTTTTAGGAAACGTATGAAAAAGTGGTTCCTTAAGGTTTTGGAGAATATAGATAAAGTATTTATCTGAAGTGCTTGTGGGCATTTTTTATTGTTCTTTTGTTGTTGTTATTGAGTTAAATGTACATGTTTATGTATCTGTATGATTTTTTTTCTGTGTGGTTGATTTTTTTTTTGGTTATATAGTTTTGTAGTGTGCTTAGATTTACTTGAGTGAAGCAGCAAAAACACTTGTATAAATGAACAAATAAATAAGACATACCCCACCTGGTCTGCAAAAATCTAGATGACCACTAGATGTCAGAATATAGAATGTCTTTTTGTATCTCTTTGCTACCATCTAGTGGTTATCTCTGGTGTGAGTCAGTGGGCTTTAGTTTGAGAACAGCATGTTCTCAAGCCGCTCAGTCACCTGGTACCTCAAGAAGCTCATAATTTTAATAGTAATAATAATGTTGCAAGTATGCCCTGATTCTGATCTTTGAATTGTTGGCTGTATGAAGATTCCTTTTAGATCAATAATATTTGTGCATGGATGTTATATATTATAGAAGAGATTGGCAAAAAAAGATGAATTGTAGGCATGGGAATGGGGAGCTATGAATATTCATTTCATTTTCTGTTATACTTTACATGCTCAGAGCAATAATATTGTGCTATACAGAATGTTAGTTTTGTCAGTGCGATAGAAAAAATACACCACAATAGTTTAAGTGACAAACATTCTGCCTTTTGTATTTATCCCAGCTGACTCTCAAATTATAGAGATTCAGTAAATAATCTCTATTTACTTCTATATCATGAAAGAATATAGCTTTCTACACTTCTGTTTCTAGATAAGAAAACTGGAAGTTGTAATGTATCCATTTGTATTGTTTATATGACTTCTGGGAGTTTGGATAGGAATTTTCTCAATGCATGCAATAATTACTTGTGGTCTATTGCTCATCTGTGAAATAATGTTTCATTATTAACAGAATTACTTTCCAACAGAATTGTATGTTAAGTATTTCATTTCTGCCTGTTTCCTTTTAATTCCTCAGCTGATTTTGGGGATTATGACCAGTATGAATCACAAGAATTTCTACAGAGATTCGCCTTGTTTCCTGTGGTAAGGATGGGCCAGTTTCTCTTGCCTTTGTCTCATGTTTGGAGATATTTAAAAGACTAATTTAAAAAAAATGAAATCAGTCCTGCATGCTGATGCAGGTAGTCCTTGACTTACGACCACAACTGAGAGCAAAATTTCTGTTACTAAGCAAGGCAGTTGTTAAGTGAATTTTGTCCATTTTATGACATTTCTTGCCACAGTTGATAAATCGCTGAAGTTGTTAAGCTAGTTACACAGTTGTCAAGTGAATCTTATACAAGTTGCTATGAGTGTATTGGTTTGATGACATACATACACAAATAGCTGAAAGAAAGGCAGATGGAGTAATATATGTTCATACTTTTAATTAACACCTTACAACAAAAAGAGTTTAGGATGTCGACAATGGATACAGGAATAAGCACAATGCTTTGTTTTCCATTTTTAAGGGTTGGTTGCAAGATGAGAAGATGTTAGAAGAAGCAACTCAGAAAGTGGCACTACTCCATCAAAAATACAGGTATCGGTTCTGAATTAATGACATTGTTTCAAATCTGAAAGTTGTGGCATACTGAATTGTTGCTATAAAATAGGGAATTGTTTAAATTAGGATTGATGATGAGAAATACAGTTCCTATGTTAACAGAAATCCGCTTTGTTAACACAACATCTTTCTTCTGGCTCTGTGATTGAAATCTGGTGAATCTATTTATCATTCTTTTGAAGTAGTAGCTACATCAAAAACACTGTAAGCTTACAGTAGGTTTAACATGTATTTTAAACTGTGATCCTGACAAATGAATGTAGGGGAAAAAAGTATTTCATCTTTTCAGCATCTTTGCCCTGCTTGATGTGGCTCTTTGGCTACTGAAAACCTCTGTTTATTAATAGTTGTAAGCATTTAATACTAGCTTCCGTTGATCAGAAAGTCATGATAAATAGTGATAATCAACTCCGGTTTAAAGGGAAAGAGTTTTGCTTTAATAATATTATTATACTTACAAACTGTTTAAATATGGAACATGTATGCCTTAGAATAATTAACTACAGTTTTTAGAGACCCAACATGTTCTTTGCATTGGCCCCATATTTGGAATCTGCAACAGATCTACTAAATTCTGCTTATGATAGATTTGCAAGAGACCTGTGAATACAAATATAATTTTTGCTCCTTATATCTTTTGTATTTTGTGTGTTATTTTAGGATTGGAATTAAATATGACAGTGTTGTGATTTCCTTGTTTGTAGGTTAGTGTGTTATATGAAGACAGCGATTGTGGTTTATAAATCATAAAACATATTTAAGCTGGTTACTGAATGAATCTTTATTTTTTAAATTTGCAAGATACATTGAATCAAAATAACTCAGTAGTCTGAGTTCATAAGAGATGGTGAATTACTATATGTACATCTGAATGGTTGTGTGTCTCTGTGTGTGTGTGTACATATACATCTGTTAGCCTTCGCTGATCTGCTTTATTGTGTGTTTTTTTTAGAGAAAAATCACATTTCTGAAGCAATTTATTTATGTAAACATCAAGCGATGTACTCTTCTGAAATGTATTGCTGACACAGGCGGAAACTAAGTGTTCTGAGAAACTAGTTAGCTAATGAAGTTTTTTTTCTTTCCTTCTTTTGAAGGGGCCTCACACCACCTGATGCAGAAATGTTATATATGCAAGAAGTTGAGAGAATGGAAGGTTATGGTGAAGAGGCCTATCCTGCTAAGGTAAAGTTAATTTTACTGAAGGCCTGTGCCTGTCAGTGTTGCACAAATATGATAATTAATTTCCCTTCTGCATTTTTAATTTTCTTTTTAAAAGTATACCTTTTTTTGTTATAACACTGATCATGTTTCTGTTAAAACCTTTAGCAGAAACACCCAGATGCCAATCCAGAAATAGGATTGGAGTTTCTATTTAGACTGCAAAAATTTACACTGAAAATATTTTGTATTTCATGTTAACCAATAAATATAGCAAGCATAAAAATTATATTCTGTATCTAGTAAACCTAAAAGGCAAAATTTGAAATATATAAACAAAATGAGTTCAGTCTGTAAAATCCAAATAGCTGAGAACCCCAGTATTAAAATAGCACCTAGCAATACTGCTTCGTTAGTGCAGCCCTCTCTAAGTGGTTTGCAGAGTCAGCAAATTGCCTCCAACAAATCTCATTTTACTGACCTCGGAAGAATAGAAGGCTGAGTCAACCTCCAGCCAGTGAGAATTGAACTGCTGGAAGCCAGCAGAATTAGCCTGCAATGCTGCATTCTAACCACTGCGCTATCACGGCTCAGGCCACCATGAGCTTCTCTAGAGCTATAAAATCATACTACAGAAGACCTTCCAGTAGCCCCACAAATAGATTTGGTTTACAATGTGCTGAGTCTTTTCAGTGGTAGTATCTCAATTAAAGAAGTCTCTTCAAAGGGAAATATGGATGGCCAGAAGCTATCTTCAATTAGATGACAATTAAAGATATATCCATTCAGCCTGGCAGATAGAAAATAACAGTAACTGTGGGATCTGTGTTTTAGATTTCATATTGCGGAGGCATCCCTAGGTAAGGTATACCGGTTTCATTCCAATATTATGCTTAGGAGGATGACCAATGTTTTTGTATGCAAAAATGGTAGCTACTTTTTCATGTACAGTGTGCAGTCTGAAGTGTTCAATAATTGCTTTAGAGAACTCTTGTGTAATCCTGCAGGGATTGCACACTGTGCATATTACTTTTTAAAATTACCTTTTAATTATTTTTTCTATTGATTAGTTGGCAAGATTATTGGTTAATCGTTTATTTAATGTTATTTATGCTGCTCTTTGATAAATTACTCTGATAAGAATAATATTTCTGTAATAACTGAATGTCGAAAGCATTAATTATTTAGGGAATTTTAGGAGAAGTGATGTATAAGGAAACAAAGCTATTTCCTTATTCTAGGAAGCATTGCCCTCAATAATATGCTCAAATTGATACATGATCCCTTCTTGGTTAGATAATCAGGTTAACATTTTGGCGTATCATTTTTGCAATATACTTTAAATTTTCATCTCGCTGTGGCTGAACGTTTGCCCTACTAACATTAACAACTTATTTTTTTATTATTATTATCTAGGATAGCCAAGGAAGTGACATATTCATTGGAGCTTGTCTTGATGGAATTTTTGTCAAGCATAAAAATGGTCGGCCTCCTGTAATATTTAGGTGAGTTTTTTTTCCAAAGCAAGATGGGATGTATGATGTTTCATAATCATAACAATCTCTAGATGTTAGAGCTAAGTAAAAACATATTGCCTGTGCGAAAGCGTACAAGATATAAAGCTGTAGTCATACAACTAATGAAATCTGTACTGTGATTAATTGACATGCCATCAAGTCAGATAAATAGATTTCCTCCATAATAATCTGTGCCTAAGCTGGTATTTCAGGTCTTTCAAAAATGCACTCATCACTACCGTAGTTTAAGTGAGCCTATCTACCTTGCTGCTGATTGTCCTCTTCTCTTTCCCTCCACCTTTCACAGCATTGGAGCCTTCTCCAGAGAGCTAGATCTTCCCATAATGTGTCTGAAGTAGGATAACCTGGATCTGATTATTTGTGTCTCAAGTGAGAACTCTGGGTTGATTTGTTTGTTTTCTTTGCTGTGCACTGTATTCTCAGGGATCTTCAATTAGCTTCTTCAGAGCATCAATTAGCTTCTTCAGAGTCTAATCTGGGCTATGAAATTCTTGTTTATCTTTCAGTAATCACCGTAAGGATTATTTAGTGTGAGATCTCTAACCTTTGATCATAGCAAATGATTGCTCGTTTCCCCCTTCCAAGTGAGTAGATAGGTTTCCAAATTCAAGTGACAAGTTTGACTTTAAATGAGCTGCCTTCAATGAGAAGCTCTTCCTGAAATTGGGAAATCTCTACCTGAGAAAGTCTCAGGAAGAAGAACACAGAAAGAATAAGGTTCCAAGCACAGCTGGATAGGAGGATTGAGATCCAAAGACTTCTAACTCTTGTCTGTTTTTTCCTCCCACATTCCTATTGGGTTTTGCCCACATCAATACGTAACCTAAAAGGCTCACAGTGAGAGATTCGAGGACACAGCTCTGATAGAATAAATTTACTAATGCAAAAGCCTTTAGTAATAAATAAAATTAGCCACTGCAAGCTCTAGGATTCAAATGGTATTTGCAGCAGCAGCCCCCTGATTCAAATTGTACATCAGCTTTCCCGCCCCTAGATTGTAATGGATCCAGAGGCACTTGTTTCTTGGATCTTGCCAGCTCTAGCCTTCATAGTTGCTGACCAGAGGAAATGGAAAAGTAGCAAATGCCGATCCTTCTTCCTTGCCTGTAATTAAATGTTGTGGATAGGTGCATAAGATCTTTGTCCCTGACCTCAGGTGTTGTTAGTTCAGCTCTTGCAATCCCTTGTGTGGAGACTAAAGCAAAAGCAGCCAACCAAAGGATTATAGATTTGAACTTGAAACATGCAAGGCAGCCAACAACTTCTGCAAATGTATAAGAAATAATAGCAAATCAATATATTTTTTTCCCAGGGAACTAAAGCATAATTATGTGTGAAAGTTATGGGTGCTTAAGTTTTTCTCATTATTCTTTTTATATGCAGGTGGCATGACATTGCTAATATGACCCACAACAAATCTTTTTTTGCATTAGAATTAGCCAATAAAGAAGAGACAATCCAGTTCCAAACTGTGAGTTTTTATTTTAGTACATTTTAAACTATTGTGATACGAGGAAGAAATCAGATTCTCTATACATGAGAGTATATAATATATGTTGCTGTATAATACATGAGTCTGTATGTATGTGGAAGAGAAAGTTTGTGTAACTGAAGGGTGATGGTCTCTTAATTTTATATTATCTTGATTATCTTCATATTAGAGCAGTTATTAGCAAAAGTCATATAAGCTATTAGCAGTCAATATAGTTGAGTAGGAACAATTCTATTCATATATTCTCCCTACCAATATACATATACATATACATATACCTGTCATATGTTCTGCACTCTGTCACTATAGTATTCAGTGAATTAAAATATACTTATTTACATCTCTCTTAGGAGAACTCCAGGGCACTGCCTACATGTTCTTTTAAGAGGATGATTCTAAGTCAGATTTTTATAATGAAATAATTCTTTATTCAGAGATATAGATAGCATCATATTTTTTTCTACCTCTTGGTCTATTTTTTCTCTTTATTTATAAAATACTTGCCAGAAACTGGTAGGTCTGGTTATGGCAAAACAAGATGTGCTATTATTGATTACTTCTCTCTGTGTTTGGCTGATATTGCATTATTAATAGTGAATCATACTGCTATCTTTTATGTATTTTAACAATTTTATTCTTAAAAATTATTTATCATAATCCTACATTTATATAATAAAAGGTATATGCCTATTTTGTAAAGGAAGAAGAGTCTGCATCTGTTTCCTGTTTGGATACCCATTATATCTATCTGTGCGAGAAGTAACTCTCACAGATATAATAACTGTTTCGTAATGAATTCCGAAGAAGCCCAGTATAAATTTATATTGCTATAATAATATTATACCTGAAGTTCATGACTTGAACATGTTTTGAGCTTGTTGCATTTGATTGTTCATATGTGGGGATCATAAAGAAAGCATCTCCATGTGGCTCCAGAGGCAGCAGGCATGTGTACCAGGTGGGATTCTGCTTGTCTCTGCTGTGCATGACTTTTATGCTGGGCCTGCCCAAGAACCTGCTTTGTTTCACGTGTATCTTTTCTGTTTGACAGGAAGATATGGAAACAGCAAAATATGTGTGGAGGATGTGTGTAGCCAGACACAAATTTTACAGATTAAATAAATGTAGCCTGTAAGTACCATATCTTTTAGTTTCTTAACTGCATTTGATATTTATAAATAGTTAACTTATTTCCTTTTTGAAAGCATATTCCTGATGTTGGGACTTAATTATCTTAGACGTTTTGCTTTCAGCATTCATGTAAGCAGCCGTGTATGGTGAAAGAGGTTTTCTTGCTACAGGCTCTGACTAAATGACTTGGATTGAACTGTAAGAAAATATTACTAAAGTAGCACACACTAAAACTATTGTAGAAGAACTAGTGTATGGATTTGCAGTATAACCTCTATAAGCGTTGAGATGCCTACAAGATTGTCAGAGGGCTTCCCTAGAATCTCAGAATGTATTTTAAAAAATACAATTGAAAGAAATGACACCATGATTTTCTAGTACTGTCACCAGTATATCATGAAATTTGAAAGCTTTGTGAAAATTTAACCCCTTTCCTTTCTTGTGCTATCACTTAAAATGAAACAGCATCACCCACCACCTGAAAAAAGGCTGAACTCTAATCTAGAGGAAGAATTCTTATAGCAATTTTCTCTGGGATTTTAGAAAAAAAAAGTAAATAATGAATACTGTGTAGCATATATTTTAGTAGCCTATTAAAAATCTTGAGAATAACTTGAGCTTTTACAAGTAAAGACATTGCCCTGGATTTGGGATCACTTTTCTCAATACTATACTCTTCTGTTAACAGAAAATGCTGATTCTGTGATGTATTTAATAAAAAACTATTTTTGATCTGGCTTATACAAATTATCCAATAATGTAATTGCAAATAAATTCCATCAACTCCAAAGATACATTACTTAGATTTCTAAATAAACATATGGATTAAATTAATGAAATCAGAAGGTATTCCTTACAGCAGTGTCTATTTCCCAGTTAACAGTTTGAGCACCATTTTAAGAGCCACATTCTGTATTATCATACTTCTAGCAAATCCTTTATAAATTTAAAGAGAATGATGGATCATGGTGCTGATCCATTCTTCATGTTCTGTCTTTTATAAAGAAGAGCCAAGTGTAGTGAATTTTGGGTGAGAACATTCTTACTCTCTGACTTCTTTACCAGTTCAGAGACTGATGGAAAGATATTAGCTTGCCTTTTGGGGGGAAAGGGCATAAAGTACCAGAAATATATTTGCCTTAGATCAGGACTAAGCAGAAGGTAGACAGTTGAATCAGCATAGAATTTGAATTTGTGTTTTTACTTGTTTAACACACTACCAGATAGTTTTCTTTCAGACAGCCTGATTTCAAAAGAAAAATGCCAAGAGCATGGCATAGCCTCTGTAGGAGATGACATGCTGAAACTTTGCTGGTCCCTTAGCCCACCATGATCAACTGCCTATCTATATAGAATTCCCTTCTAGAAGAAGTAAAAAATGTAAAGTCTTCAGGATATGTGCTTTGCAATAAACTAAATATACATGAAAGAACCAATGGGTTTTAAAATATCTCTGACAGATTATATTAGAATACCTCTGCAGAAGATTGCATCAGACAGAATAACTTCTGAAGTAGAGACATTAGGGACAGCTGAGAATGATTAGATTATATATATTAACATGACTTAATGATTCTTTCCCAGATGTATACTTGTCTGAAAATAACAGGATATAGACGTCAAAACTCCAGGCTTGCAATTTTGAAAAAAATCAATATTATAATTGTGTTTCTTAATGAATGTACCAGATATGCAATTATTCAGGAAGTCCACAAGCTGAAGCAAATAAACTGGGGAGTTTTTTTTAAGACATTAATCAAACTATCTTACAAAAAGAAATTATATATAGGCTTTTATCAGAATTGTTGATAAAAATGGGAATTTACATTCAAGCGTATAATTTTGAAACCACATAGAGATAATTTCTACTGTTCAGGATCTGAATGAAACTGGTATACTTGAAGGGGACTCCCCCACTGATGCCAGCAAAAGGAACAATTTTGGAGATTAACACAAGCAGATACAGATACAAAAGACAAAGAAGGATTCAAACAGATACAAAAGCAGAAGGGAAAAAAATAACAAAACAAACTCTTTATATTGACCAGTTAAAGATTTAGCATAGTATATAAAACTTGTATTAGGATTTAAGAATATATATTTCAGGTATAATTGACTTATTAAGACATATATTTTATTGGTAGGGAGAAGGGAGAAAGCAGGAAAAGATTTCGCCACTTTATTTATTTTATTTATTTATTTATTTATTAAATTTCTACCCCGCCCTTCTCCCAGAGGACTCAGGGCGGCTTACAGCCATCTAAAACAGGTACATAATACAAAAATACTAATTTTAAAATGTAATTAAAATAGAATATTAAATTATTGGCCTTTTCTTTTTAAAATTATTTTAAAACCAAATAAAGATAACCCTTAGGCCAGTCCTGCTAGCTTAAATAGCCATGTCTTGAGGGCGCGGCGGAAGGAGGGGAGATTTAAGCTGGGAAGGGGCGCGGCGGAAGGAGGGGAGACTTAAGCTGGGAAGGGGCTCAGAGTGTTTCCTTAATAACTTTGTTGATTCATTCTTGATGTAAGACTGAACAGTGAGGAGTGATTGTTTAGGGAGGAAAAAATTGGTTATTAAAAATTTAGGGATCAATCTAGAGCAGTGGTTCTCAACCTGTGGGTCGGGACCCCATTTGGGGTCGATCGACCATTTCATGGGGGTCACCAAGCAAGGCTGTCTGCCATTTTTTTTGTCTGCCATTTTTCCCCCCTTTTCCGGCGGGTGCCTTACCTCCCTTGGGCTGGGCCAGCTGGTGGTCAGCCTGCTCCGTCTCTGCCGCTTGCCAGCTACGCCTCGGCCGGCGCAGGGGGCGGAACCATGCATGCGTGGCGCTCCCGGGCAGGGAAAGTCCTTGACTTACGACCGGTTGGGTAGTCCTCGACTTACGACCTGTTTAAGTCCTCGACTTACGACCGGTTTAGTCCTCGACTTATGACCGGTTTAGTCCTCGACTTACGACCGGTTGGGGTCGCGGCATTAAAAAGGTTGAGAACCACTGATCTAGAGGGAAGACTTGTGAATGAGGATGAATATGACTAGGTCTGGACATTTCAGAGGGAAAAAAAGTAGTAACAAGATTGTCTCTCTTCATCCTCCAAATAGTTCAGTGAATTAGGAAGGCTCCTGCCTAAGTCATGTTTGAATGTTATTTTGTACTTTTTTTTAAAAAAAAAATGCTTCAGCTGCTTTTACCTAGGTAACGATTCTTGCATATCTCCATCAGGTTAATCTTTTTTACTTCCTCAGTATCTTCTTTTTGGAAGAATAGGTTTAAAGAAACATCTTACATAAGCAAAAAAAGATTCAATTCATTCCCAAATGTAAGTTTGCCACACATATTTGAGGACCAGAATAAGAACATTG